TGACTACGGTCCCAGTGATCGCAGTGACTAAGGTGCACTTCAATGTGAGCCGCGGTTCACTTTGAGATTGCGCGTCGCAATCCAATCACACAACGTGTATTCCAATATTGACCCTCCAATCACTGCCCTTTGCCTCTCCCTGAGAGGCATTGTACTTCAAAAGTGCATTGGGTCCCTGGCCCTACACTTACCGAAAGAATCTTTCAAGACTGGCAGGTGTGCCTGTGCATGCACTCACTCTTTGTGATGCGACACTGTGGTTGTGGAGAGCTTTGTATACTTCTGAAGTTGCATCACTATTGGCGTGGCTGTTGGAGACGAGATTTCTATGCGCACCACAAGAGCACGCCTCGCCTTTTCTAGGCTGTGGCACTTGTCGCCACAACATCCGTCTCTCCATCAAAGGGCAGGTCTTTTATGCAACTGTTCGTGCTGTTCTGTTGTACGAATGCGAGACTTCGACCATTCGTAAAGGTGACTTAAGCAGACTATCCGTCTTCGAGCACAGCTGTCTGTGGTCCATTGCCCATGTGTGGTGGCGACACTACGTAAGCAATGTGAAAGTTAGATAGCGTGTCTTGGGATGAGGTAGTCACTTGCTCGAGGAGCTTGTCTTAAGAACAAAAGATCATCTGGTGAACAATTGCTTTCAATGATTCATCATCAGACCATTACAATCATATAGAGGCTAAAATGAGAAATCGACCCAGTTAGTTCAAAATGACTTGACCACGTGAAGGTCTGTCTGCTGGTTGTGGCTAGATCCTGACAGATGATCTACCCACTGCTACTACTGTTGCGCCATTCGCTCATGTTCTGGGCGCCTCCTTGTGGCTGGGACATGTATTGCGCATTCCTGTTCAGCGTTACCCGGGTCGGGTGTTATTTACGGTTGATGGACAAGGCTGGAAGAGACGGTCTGGTGGGCAGTCTACAACTTGGAGAAACCGCATGGAAAAGCTGACGCAACAGTTGGCCTGGGCCGGTTGTTGTCGACTACCTGGTTGGGGTCCGAGAGATGCCGATACTTGCTGGTTAAAGACCTTGGAAGCCCTGGCTCAAGATCGATGTCAATGGCGGACGTGTGCATCGGTGTGCTGCGGTGTCCGTTTTTCCTCCCCCCCAACAAAACAAAGTGAAAAAGATCAAAAACTGAGTGGCAAACCTGGCAAAAAAGCTTTTGTTCTTGCTGTTATTTTCTTATTATTCATACTGTTTTCCTATTCGGCCATGAATCCGATGGCACAATATCTGTACCACAGATTGTGTATAATATATATACCTGGGTCTGCAAGTGGCCTTAAAAACCACGCTGCTGATGTCGCCTAGCATGAACACGAAATGTCTGCCACCAGAGTATCCAGCTCGAAGAACAATCGAAACCCTCATCCGCACCCCGAGCTACAACTACTCTTGATAATTGCTCGTGTCAGTCTACCATCCCACGTGATTCCAAGTATGTTTTCAGGTTGAGCGAATCACGGGCAATGCTTACCTTCAGCAATGCAAATATTCCCATTTCATTATCAGGAGTTTAGACCAGAAATTGGCTCATCAGACCCAAGCGTTCATATAGCACTCGTTGTGTGGTGAGCGTCAGATCGGGCTGGGGAGAGCACTAAACGGGTTAGAGGTATTTCTCTTGTCTGCCTTTCATCACTCACGCTGTAAAGGCGCCAGTGACTCGTTCGATTTTCCCTGCTTTTACTCTGGCTTTCCCCTGTACGAATTTACCAGTCTGTTTATCGGTGTTTTTCTAAACTGCTTTCTCGGCGTGGTCTGACAGTTTTAGACTGCTCTAAATCGTTTCGCTGCTTTCTAGGTTGGAGTCTTTTAAATTACCATTTTATCGAGCTGTTTTCTGTATGACTTTTTTCTTGTTCTTAACCCAGACATCCGCTTTCTTCTCCACTTGTTTAGATCGGACATGAGGGAATTGTGATGCATGACATCCGTAATGAGCACCGCCAACTGACTAACCGTGAACACCCTATGGGGCACAGTGATGGATCCCCGTCAAACATCAAACCATGCCAAAATGTAGGTGGTAGCCTTGAGGATCCCAACGACTCCGATGCTTTCGACAGCGAAGACGAAGTCATGTCAGACAGCGAGGCACCTGCGATTGCACAGCAACCCCAGAAATGCGAAGGCACTTCATTGCACACCCCTCTTGTTCCTCTCGTTTATCCCATAGAACCCTCTAAGCAAGCCTACTTCGTGCCCTTTTATCCTCATATTCCCCAAGGTTCGACTTATCCCTTTTATCCTCCCGCCCAATATCCTGACTGCGTGGCCCCTCCGTCGGCACTAGGTGGCGCAGATGATGGCGAAGTATCCAGCGTAAGTCAAAGTGCGAGCCAAGTTATCCCGCGGGGATCATCTCCACCCAACGATGATAATCAAGGTGATTGCTGTCCTTCGACTACTACTACTACCTATCCCACTTTAGTTGATCCCACCCAATCACCACTCCATTACTACTCCACCGATCCGACTAAACAGATGTTGTGAACATCTCCCGTTTGAATTTTTACCCACTTTTTCTCTTTTTATGTTTGCATTTCTGAGGCACGCTTCACAGATCTATTTGCCCCATACTTTCTGTACAAAAGCACTTTATCTGTACCACAAATACTACACTTCATTCTTCTGTCACACAATCGTTTGTGGTACTTTGCTGTTTTTCCTAAGTAAGGGGCTGCTGCGGCCACCCGTGAGGTTTCTGTTGGCTGTTGCGAGTTTCCGCGGTGGCAATCACTGGTGATGATACGCTAGACGCACATCTGTAAACATGAATCCATCTCTTATCGGCCTTCTCTTATGGGTATTCAGTTTGTTGTCTTCATTTGGTTACATGTGAAATAATTTAATCTGTTTTTGATTGGTATCTGCTAGAGTCACGTTTGATGAATGACCCACCTTAAGGCGTAGCTGTCTTATATATCGTTGAGAAAGATGGGTACTTTGGGACTGTATTCAGCTTATTTAACTCCTGTTGTCGTTACATTGGTGCTAGGACTTTTATGCTTAGTGGTTACTCGGTTACAGCTACATACACTACTACAAGCTTTGTAGATCCTTTTCACTTGCTTCGCGAACTATCCAGTCAAAGCGATTAGGTGATTACCTTCACAGTGCTTTTTCTTATGGGCTGCACCTTTGTTGTTTACCGTGTACCCCTGTTTGCTTGCTGCTCTCCTAAACATACTTTATCAGGCTTGACTACAGTCTGTGATAGTAGCAACTTTCCCTACATTGGTAAAAATCAGGATTTGCTCATGTGAACTTGATGTGTACCACACTACAAAGTGTACTTAACGTCGTACTTAGTCATATGTGGTATGCCAATAAGCATGTTTAATAGTGGCGTACAGAACACATTGACTGCACGAGATGCGGTAACATCTACCGACATTTTTCGCTTCGCTGACACGAAATCTGGGTTAGTTTCGGTTTTATCCATTGAGGAACGAATTATTCGAGTCAATGCTAGCCCAGTAACCCGCGGGTCTGTGCTCCAAGCTAACTCAGGTGCATGGAACTGTGGCTTGATTGCGTGCATCGCATCTGTGGAAGACGCGCAATTGAACAAAATGCAAGGTTTTGATCATTTGCAACACACCCGGAATATCACCACACTTCATCACTTGTCGCGGTCGAATGCACGCCTACTTGGTCAGCGTATTCGTCCACCGCAACTTGGGGTGCGTGCCGCTACTTCTTGAAGCGATTTCCGATAGTTGGGCTGCAGTTTACTAACTGTCGGAAGCTGTTCAACAGAATCACGACTAACTTTATTATTCTACTGCGGTGAATCATTCGGATGGTTGTGAAAGAGGATCCTTTGTAAACACCTGAGCACACGAGTACGGGTGCAGAAGAAGCATCTGGGATGTATACTATTCTTTATTTTCTTCACTGAGAACTTTGTCGTTGTGACCCTGGGAAAATTAACTCAGAAAGGCGGAGTGATATAACTTTGTTTTGGTGGTAAAGCACTGATGGTGCATTCATATTAAATACGTACCAAAAAACGATGCTGCTATATCGGGGCGGCGAAATCATGTCAACTTCATAGACTGCATAGTAATGTTGAGTACTCCGATGATTTGCGCGCCTCTGTACTTCATTAGTTACATCTTCTAAGTGATATCAAGGCCATTGATATCAGATAGGTCAGCACTTAACGATGTGGTATACAACGTGTGTTCAAAAAGAAACCGAACTCTTGAGGTGACGCACTGTGGCTACTGAAGGCATGTGGAGGCTTGTTTGGACAACAATCTGCCATTTGAAACAATTAGATCCCTTTAGTAATTTGAATAAAGCCATAAGAAGACGAACATTGGCAGATCTCAACATTTCTTATTGTCTCTTCAGTGCCAACACCATAACATGCAAATATATAAAACGACAGGTAAGGCGAGACCGGAACAGTGTTGGGGGCAGGCGTGACACTCCTACGCCCCGGGCAGCCGTAGGCTTACGAACAACTGTTTCTGCACACAGAGTGCGGGTTTGATACGGCTGATCGTGACTGCCACTGCGAAACGTAGGAAACGGGTGTTAGCATGTATTAACACGATTGTAAACATTTTGGCCGGATCAAACTGATGACAGTTTGCCGGTAAATGCCTACCTATGAATGAAGCAGGTGACTTACGTAAACAGGTGGTAGATAACAACCTAAACCCGTGAGCTTCCAACGTACATCAGCTATACCGGTTGCCGAAGACCCATAAATGTGCTATACCGCTTAGACCAATCTTGTCAATGGCAAACTCGGCACAGCATACGTTGGCTAGTGGACGTACTGGCGCTGTTAAAGCGGCAGACTATCCCACACCGTCTGTAGGACTCTTTCGAGCTTACCGAGGCTTTAGATGAATTTAACCTATCCAATAAAGTCATGGCCACATTAGGTGTACAATCGCTTTTCACCAATGTTCCGCTACATGAAATGGCAGAGTGCTCTGAGTTAACTCTTCCAATACCAATCGAATTATTAAAGGACAACTTACTGCTGTGCACTGAGAATAGCGGTTTCCAATTCCGAAACATTCCTTATCGCCAGATAGATGGGGTGGCAATGCGTAGTCCGTTGGGCACAGTGCTAGCAGACTTTTTCATGCTGATGATTGAAACGAAGTTCAGTGTAGAAATATCGCTTCTTTCCTACTATAAGCGGTATGTTAATGATATTTTAGTGTTTAGCTCATCATAGGAGCACATTGCGTGTCTGGTCGATTACCTGAGTAACATGCATACGAATCTGAAAGTAAACAGAGAAACAGAAAAACAACTGCCCCATATCTGGACGTGTTGAGTTGCCGAAGAGCAGATGCGTCCATCAGAAGTGAGGTTTACCGAAAACCGACTTGGTCGGGTCAGTACATGCACTTTATCAGCTTCTCCCCATTGCGATACAAGCGGATCTTAGTCAAGACGCTATTCAACCGTGCTAGAAAAATATACACTACCGACTGTTTTGGCGATGAGATAAACTCTCTCAAGGATACGCTGTTGAAAAATGGCTATTCAAGAAGATTCATCGACAAACATTGCCAGACGAGGGTGCCGGGACAGAAGCTTTCGACAGTGTCTACAAAGAGGTCTAGATCGAGCTACCATTTAAGGGTGATTTTGCCAATATGAAGACAACGAAGCGCATAACTTCTGCAGTCCGGAGGACATATTGTGCTGCCGAAACTGTTCTTATCAACCGGACTGATCGAATACCTGTTACCCCAATGACGGAAAGACAACCTATTGGCGCCAACTCACAATGTATTTACCAATTTACTTGTAATTGTGATATACACGACATCGGCCGTAACAATAGATTGTTGAACTCCATAATAAGGGAACATGTACCTAAATGTTTGCAGAGTCAAATCACCCAGCCATCGGTTGCATATACCACCTGATTCATCCACAGGTAGGCATTTACTGGCAAACTGTCATCAGTTTGATCCGGCCAAAATGTTTACAATCGGGTTAATACATGCTCACACCCGTTTCGTACGTTTTGCAGAGGCAGTCGCGATCAGCCGTATCAAACCCACACTCTGTGAGCAGAAACAGCTGTTCGTAAGCCTACGGCTGCCCTGGGCGTAGGGGTGTCACGCCTGCCCCCAACCCTGTTCAATTTGCTCCGACCTCAACTTACCTGTCCTCTTATATATTTGCATGTTATGGTGTTGGCACTGAAGGGACAATAGGAAATGTTTACATCTGCCAATGTTCGTCTTCTTACGCCTTTACTCAAATCTGCCATTTGCCGCATTTTGCTATGACTATGAGTCGGCGAGGTGCATCTGCTGAAGTGCATCTGCTGAAAACGTGCAGAAGCTGTTCGTTGGATTATTGCCGAACAGAAAATGAAGGAGCTCGGAGAAAAACGTGCGTGAACCTTTGCTACAAACTTGGCAAAACGTTTACAGACATTTCAGTTGCTTAGCCAAGCATACGGAGAATGTATGTGTCACAGGCAATGCTATAAGTGGTTTAAGTGTTTTGAATACGGCTACATGTCGCTCGGTGACGATCCCAAGCATGGACGATCATCTACATCAACTGATGATGGGTATATCGAGAAAAATGGCGCTATGATCGGTGGAAATTGTCGTTTAACTGTTCGAGAAGTTGCTCACGAAGTGGGCGTCAGCTTTGGATCATGCCATAAAATTTAGTGTGAAAACTTGAGATGCGTCGTGCCAGTGCAAAATTCGCCCCGCGTTTGCAGACTGACGATCAGAAACAGAATGGTATTTAAATCAGCCAAGCATTACTTGCCACTAACAATGACAATGAAAACCTCTTTAGGAACATCATAACAGGCGATGAGACTCGGCTTTATGGCTACGAATCAAAGGTCCAGTCATCGCAATGGATCGAGAAGAGGTTTCCTCGTTCAAAATAGCACGCATGTCGGTCAAAGATCAAGGTGATGTAGGTTGTGTATTTTGACTGCAATAGCATTGTCCATCAGGAATTTGTACCAGTGGTCAGATGGTAAACAAGGAAGTCTACCTAAGAATTCAAGTGCGTTTGAGGGATCTTGTGTGCAGGAAGGGGCATGAACTGTGGGGAAACCAGACTTGAATGTTTTATCATGACAATGCGGCGGCTCAGGCATCGCTCCTTGTCAGTAGCTATCTATCCAAATATCACACTCCCGTTGTGCTCCATCCACCGTATCTCCGGACCCAGCCCCAACAAATTTTTCCTGTTTCCCAAATTTGAAACCACGTCGAAAAGACGTCCTTTCCAAACCACAGAATCGATTCAGGACAATGCGACAAGAGACCTGTGCGCCATCCCAAAAAGTGCGTTCCAAAAGGCTTTCCAATAATGGAAGCATCGTTGGAAACGGTGTATTGCCAGTAGAAAGGACTACTTTGAGAAGAAAAATGGTTAAGATGTTATGCAGTGAGCCTTAAAGATGTTATAGCAAGGTTCAGTTCCTTTTTGAACAAACCTCGTACTCAGTGTCATTGCTTTCCATGAAGAGAGCTTTTGAAACTTCATCGGCCCTCTGTCTTCCTCACCGTTCTGTAAGGTTGCACTGGTTATTAGCAGTGTAGTTGTAGTAGCGCACTAACACCACTATTTGTTTCTAGCCTTAGAAGAGTACGGCGATTTCTCACTAGTCGGATTATGCCTGGCGATTGACTGTGTTCGGGCGTAGCCCATATAGTTGGAAAATTTGTCAATTACTCTCAACCTACTATGGCTAAACGTGGCTCAACTCAAATTGGTCATTGATGTAGTTAATCTCACTCGTCGTTCCAACTAGGATCAAACTTTCATCAGAATCTTTGGGAGGATTCTTAAATAAATTAATAAAGGTATATTTCTCA